ATGCTCTATTCTACTGTTGATTCCCTGTCAATGTTTCTTAATTTCAGTTAATGTATCCTCCATTTCTGACTGGTCCTTTTTTATGTCTTTGATGTTCTCTCTAATTTCCTTGAAATTCTACTAAAATGCTTGAAATTCTCACTAAGTCCCTTGGAACTCTCATTAAGATCCTTGAGCATCCGTATAACCATTGTTTTGAACTCTGTATCTAGTAGTTTGCTTGCTTCCATTTCACCTAATTTTTTTCTGGAGATTTCTTCTGGTCTTTCATTGGTGACATGTTTCTTGCCTCTGCATTTTGGCTGCTTCCTTGTATTTGTTTCTATGTATTAGGTAGAGCTGCTATGTCTCCTGGAATTGGTAGAATGGCCTGTGTAGTAGGTGTCCTGTAGGGCCCAGTGGTTCAGCCTCCCCCATCACCTGAGCTGGGCACTCTAGGTGCTCTGCTTTGCTGGCTATGTGTCCTGTCATGCTGTAGTTGAGCCTTGATTGCTGTTAGCATCACTGGGAGGAATTGACCTCCAGGCCAATTGGCTGTGAGTTCCAGCTGTGACTACAGTGGAAGAGATGCATGCAGGAGACACTACTATGGAGCTGGACTTGCTTCAGTGGGGCTTTGGTGCTCTGAGTCTGCCCCTTGAGTGTATTGCTCATGGATGTGTAGAGTTGTAATCTGGCATGGTCTGAAGCTGTCCATTGGGTACACAGGCTTTGGGGCCCCCCTGGAGGTACAAAGTCAGCCACTGCCTTTGACCTGCCTGGGGCCACCTAGCCAGAGCTACAGAGTGATCTGCCAATGGCTGCTACTTGTATTAGGTTTAGAAGTACCCAGAAGAGGCCAAGCTGTGAAGCAAGGCAGGCTGCTGTCAGTGCCAGACATGGGGCCTCTTATTGAGTGGTATGGGGCTTGCTGACACCAGCTGCTGCTTGCTTGAGAGATTTTAAGAAAGTCTGAAGCCTGAGCCAGGACAGGCCATTCATATGGAAAAGACTCTGAGGACCCTTGGGTGGGGCTGCAAATTGGGTAGGGTTGGGAATTGGGTGGGGTAGGGTCTCAGGGAATCCCCAGGGTAGAGTGAACAGTGTGAGCCAGGTTGATGGAAACTCAGATATAGTGCTTGTCAGTTAGCTCTTCAGCAGGGAAGGCCTCAGCATAGGAACAATGACCCTTGTAGCACTTTTGTCTAGGAGAAAGTTGTCCTGGAGTTTTTGTCCTGATGCCAATTTAGTTACTACCTATATGTCCCTGGATCCTTTCAAGCTGCTGCCCAGCACTGGAGCTCAGAGGAAGTGAGTTTGAGTAATTCTGTGTGCCAGCCCTTTAAGAGGAACTGCCTGGGTCTCCAACAGCCTCCATGTCACTCCCAGCTCCACTCCAGCTTTGCTGATCTGTACAATCCCAGCTTGTCTTTATAGCTCAAAGTTATAGGGAGATCTCATCACAGCACTGGAATCCTGGGCTGAGGGGACAGGCTATTCATATGGAAAAGGGGCTGGGAGCCTTAGCTCCTCATGGAAGGCCTCTGCAGCCAAGATACCCTCCTGATTAAAAACACACCACACATGGGTGTCGGAACAGCTGGTTTCATGCCTCTACCCTTCCTACCAGTATTGGTGTGCTTCTTTAAATCTCTAGTTGTAGGACTGCCATTCAGCCAGCGTTCAGGCTGTCCTGAATGATGGTTTCTCTATATTTTAGTTGCAATTTTGATGTGGTTGTGAGAGGCAGCGAGTCCTGGCATTTACCTAGACTGCCAACTTGCTTTTCTCTCTCACTTCAATGAGCTCTTAACCAGAAATATGAAGGTGCTAGATATGAGATTTACATCCATTATCTCATGCACTGTCTATGAGCCTAGTAAATAGATTCTATTATTATCCCGCCTCTCTGCGCCTTGGTTTCATTTCCTGTAAGATAATTGCAACTATATCCGTAAGGTTTTGTGAGTGTTAAATGGTTTGATACCTGGCAGGGCGCTTGGTGGTGAGTAAGCACTAAATAATGACATTATATTCACCACCACCCTGACCAATATCCCTCCAAAGCTAATTAGTATCTCCAAATGTTTTGTTGAGTTGAGGGGATAAACTGCCTTCTTCCTCAAGCTGCCACAGAGGTAGAAGGGCTGAGGGCCTGGGTTCTGTTTCCCTGAGATCTTTATCACTTCCCCTTCCTGGCCTGGGTTGACCTTAGGGCAGGCCCAGAGACTCAGCCTGATGCTTGATCCTGGGTGGACCAAGTCAGAGTAAGACCTCAGCAACCCATGTGGAGAGAAAGGGCGGTGAGAATGTGGGGGTGTGCCTGGACACCAAGTGACTCAGAGGGCTCACTATCCAATCAGAGTCTCCCAGCCAGATATTTATATGTGCAGGGAGGGCAGAGACACAGCGCAGGGAGAGACCAGCTGGAGTCTGAGGTCAGGCTGCACTCCCAGCCCCGCTCCAGCTTTGCTGATCTGTCTGAAGACCTCTGAGCCCACGGTGTTTCCATCTTAGAGGTGGGAAGGTGGGTGACTGTGTTTCCAGGGTCTCTCTACTCTGATCATCACTGGTGTTCACTTATAATGGGAGTCTGACCTCACTCTGAGGTCCTGTTGTGTGGGAAGTTTTGGCTGAGTGGGTCGTGGTAGCCATGGTTTGGAGGGACAGCCTCACAGGTTCTTCACCTGGCCTGAGATCTGAGCTGAGCTCTGCTCTTCCCAAAGGGATTTACCTGAAGCCCAAGACACCACAGGTCCTGGTCCCTGTGCTGGGCCTGAAGGAGCAGGTGATGATCGGCACCAGGTGAGTCTGGGGGTGGAGTGGGGCCCATGGGTGCAGCCCCACCTGCTGAAACAGAAGGACTGAGGCTGTG